ACTTTCTAAGTAGCCATTTCACCGCCAATCTCTGCTAAATATTGGAGTAAAATTTAGTTTTTTGGAGTTTTTGGCACACAAACTTATAACAAAGAACTTCCCATGTATATTTTGTAAAGTTGGTGTGTGCTATTCCTGTACAAAGTTTTATTTTGTGTTCAGTTACTTCTGCTGAGTACAACGATACCCCCATTGTATGTCTTTGGCACTATTTCGTGAAGCTACAGTGCCATATAGGAGACCTGTCCGTTTCAACATTTACAGTAGAATTTTGAGAGGCGGATTTAATGGGCCTATGCTTCAATTTGGGGTATTATAGCAGTTTGACTGTTCAAAAAAAACCCACAAAGGCCTACCATTTATAAAAGTAGACACTCCAGGGTATCTCATATGGTGCATATTGTGCCTTAACATGCCCCCATTTTTTCACCAATATATGCCAAAGTATGTGGTAAAAAATAATTTTGGGCATTTTTTACATACGGATTACATTTTTGCTGGGCATTTTGTACATTTCATATGTGCCACTAAGTTCAAACCCCCAAATTATGCTCAGCTAAGTCTTCTGAGTAAAACAATATGCCCAATGTATGACCTAGACACTATTTTGTGAAGTTACACTGCTATAAAAGAGACGTAACAAGTTAAGGTTTTTAAGTGTGAATTTTCATGGAGGGTTTTGATGCGTCCGTGCCCACTTTGGAGCACTTGAGCAGGCTACATATTACAACTACACCATAAAGGCATACCATTTCTTAAAGAACACATCCCAGGGTATTTCAAAAGGCATATTTTGAACCTTAGCGTGGGATAATTTTTCCGCTAGCTTGTACCAAGTGTAATGGTAATAAGCGTTTTTTTGCCTTTTTGACACACAAAGTAAATTTGCGCAGTACATTTTGCAAATCTTATGTGTGCTACGACTGTATAATACTTCATATGTTGCTCAGCTATGTCGGCTGAGTACATCAATACCCCCGTATGTACCTTTGCCAGGTATATGTGGACATCGGAGGGGCACATTTGGGACACAGCCATTCCAGTTCATTTCAAACTTTAAATTTTTACACTGTTCCCATGTCCCATTTTAGAGTATTTTACCAGGCTATATAATCCAAATACCCCATAAAGCCATACCATTTCTTAAAGAAGACATCCCGGGGTAATTCAAAAGGCATATTTTGAACCTTAGCGTGGGATAATTTTTCCGCTAGCTTGTACCAAGTGTAGTGGTAATAAGCATTTTTTCTGCCTTTTTGACACACAAAGTGAGTTTGCGCAGTATATTTTGCAAACCTTATGTGTACTACGACTGTATACTACTTCATATGTTGCTCAGCTATGTCGGCTGAGTACATCAATACCCCCGTATGTACCTTTGCCAGGTTTATGTGGACATTGAAGGGGCACATTTGAGACACAGCCATTCCATTTTTTTCAAACTTTGAATTTTTACGCTGTGTCCATGTCCCATTTTAGAGTATTTTAAAAGGCTATATAATCCAATTACACCATAAAGGCATACCATTTCTTAAAGAAGACATCCCGGGGTAATTCAAAAGGCATATTTTGAACCTTAGCGTGGGATAATATTTCCGCTAGCTTGTACCAAGTGTAGTGGTAATGAGCATTTTTAAATGTATTTTTTTACTTTGTAAAACTTTTTTTACTTTGTAAAACCCATTTTTAAACTTTTTTTTTTACTTATTAAATGTTTTACACTATCTTAACTTTTTTTACACTTTTAATTTTTTTTCTAAACTTTTCTTTTACCGTTAACCCCTAACTAGCAGTAAGCAGCACTAACCGTAAATTCCCCATTTTCCCATAACTCCCACCCACCCCAGCTAGCAAAATATTTAATTATAAAATATTTAAATTAATTAATTAAATAAATGGAACCCCTGAGGGTTAAAAAAAATAAATAAAAATTAATCCTCAGGGGTTAAAAAATTTAGATCACAGTATAATACAGTATAATACTGTGATCTGTATTTTGATCACTGTAGGCAGTGATCAGCTGGCAGGGAAGGGGTTAATTTTTATTTAGACTGGGTAAAGGGGGTGGTATTTTTTTTTTTTTTACTTAAACGTTACTAAAACATTTAAAAAATTTTTTTTTACCTTTTTAAAGCTTATTTTAAAACTTTTTTTAACGTTAACCCCTAGTTAGCCTAACACCAAATTCCCCAATTCCCCACTAACTTCCACCCATCCCAGCTAGCTAAATATATAATTTTTTAATATTTAAATTAATTAATAAAATAAATTTAACCCCTGAGGGTTAAAAAAAAAATAATTAACCCTCAGGGGTTAAAAAAAAAAATCAGATGGCATTAAAATGTATACCCTGCCAATTGATCACTGTAGTCAGTGATCAATTGGCAGGGAAGGGGTTAATTTTATTAAAACAGGGGCAGGGGGGGTGGGATTTAACTTTAATTTTTTTTTTTTTTACACAGGGAAGCAGATCAGCACTGATCCGTCTCCCTGCACTTCACACAGAACCCGGAAGTGCAGGGAGGCGGAAGGTGAGTATGTGGAGCACATGTGCTCGCTCTGACATGCTGTCAGAGCGAGCACCGGTGCTGGGGCAGCCCGATCGGGTGCTCCCGGTCTGCCTCTAATGCAGAGGCAGACCGGAGCACCGTTAACCCCGCGATTGCCGCGATCGCGGCGATCTGGGGTTAACTTAAGAAAATGACGGAAATTTTCCGTCAACGGTCCTTAACTGAAGGACAAGGTTGACGGAAAATTTCCGTCCACGGTCGGGAAGGGGTTAATATATACGGAGGAGAAATAGTTATTTTAAATTCCTGACTTTTCCTGTTCTTCAGTAACTAACACCCCCATTCCAGTTTTTAGTGTACCTACACTTTCATTTTTTATTTTTTTTAGAATATATGTACTTAAATAATGCTTTGGGTTGACTTTGCTCTCTTTGGCTATCATTTTTTCATTTTGAAGTTTAGCGAATGCTAAGTTTTTGAATGCATTATTGGCTTCCTTATATCTTTTATAAGATGCAACTGATTTGTCCGATGTAAATGCTTTAAATGCCTTTTTCTCATTTTTAATCTCTTGTTTTACTTCTCTACTAAGTCACATTGGTTTCAATTTGTTTCTTTTATATTTATTACCCAATTGTACATACTGAGAAATGTACCTTTCTAATATTTGTTGGAAGATGTTCCATTTATCCTCAGTGTTCTTTTCACTAAAGAGTTTATGCCAGTCAATATATTGTAAAGCTGCCCTCAACTAATAGAAATTGGCCTTTTAAAAATATGTTTTAGTATACCCCATGTGCTTTTGTGGTTTTGAGTTTATTTCAAAGGACCCTATATTGTGATCACTATTACCCAAGTGCTCACCTACTCGATTGTTGGTCAAAAGATCAACGTTGTTTGTTAAAACCAGGTCCAGACAAACGTCCTTTCTAGTTGGTGCTTGTACAGGTTGTGACATGAAGATGTTATTTAACAAGTTCAAAAACCTAATTCCCTTTGCTGAGCTACTAGTCCCTCTGTCCCAATTTATATCCGGGTAATTAAAATCTCCAATAAATAAAGTGTTACCCAGATTTGCAGCTTTCTCAATTTGTTCAAACAGCTGTTGTTCCTCATTAATATTTACAGTAGGTGGTTTATAACATATCCCAACCAATAGTTGATTGCCCTTCTTTTACCCAAAGAAAATATTTACCCATAAAGCTACCACATTTTCCTCATCACATTCCACTTGCTTAAGATTTGGCTTGTTCATGGTTGACATACAAACATACTCCACCAACAGGGCCAGATTAAGAGCCCAGTGGGCCTGGTGCTGACAATTATGACGGGCCTAATTACAGAATCGAATCTTGGAACATATCAATTCTGTAAATCCATCTAGACAAATCGATACACCGATATCACGTCATCTCAAAATTCAACATGGCGGATCGGCTCAGGGTTTACGTTTTAATGGTATAGAAAGAGTGACAATGGGTCCAAGGAAAGGCGATGTTGACAAAAAACTCTTACAGCGAGAGAGCTATTGGATCTTCAAATTGAAGACCTTATCCCCTTTAGGTCTAAATGAGGGTTTTTCTTTTACTCCCTTTATTTCTGACTAGAATCCGACCTTTGAAACCCAACGAGCATGCAGTTTTAATTAATTTTCATATATATTGTAAATATTAACATCACTAATGTGTGTCTAATATCACCTAGTTAAGATTGGGCACTGTATCTTTAAGCGCTACTAGACGAATCTTACCAATGTTCTTTTGTTTCCCTGTCCAAATTATGCACAACGGCACCCTATATTGAGCTATCTAAGAAGATTCATACTAATAATAAGTTACCCTTGCAAGGTTGGCGTTTGGCACAATATATATATGTACAAATGTAATTTATTCGAGAGGAATTGTCCCTGTAACATGGGAATAAACACAATGTATTCTGCTCCTTCGGAGTCACCTTTGTAGTAGACCAATATTGTTATAGATCAAGGGATAATATCTGCAGACGTGAATTTTATAATGGAGCCCCTACAGGATTTATAATTAAAAGGCATTCATTTACTTGCTCAAACCCAAATTGGCATCTTTATAGCAAGCAGTTCAGGTAATGCCTTTCCGAGATATTCTATTTAATTTCATTGTTGCATCCCTAATATCTCCATTTGTACACATATACTTTACAGCATTGCCATTTTGCCTAATATAGTATATTGGTACTCTTTTGTTTTTCAAGCCCGTGGCATTTTTTAGGCTAGTATATGTATGGACCTGGCATATTTAACTTCTTTGTACCATAGATGGCTAATGAATACCATAAAGGCTTATTACACAATGGTTGAATATTGGAAGAATTTAAATGATAATTGATTCCACATGAATTAACAATAACATAGAGAATAACCATCGGGCTACAAATATATTCTTCATTTAACCGGAGAAGTTCATTTGTACCAGCACTACAATGGGTAAATTACTGAATTTTACGTCATCATGTAAGCAGTTCAGGTAATGCCTTTCCGAGACATTCTATTCAATTTCATTGTTGCATCCCTAATATCTCCATTTGTACACATATACTTTACAGCATTGCCATTTTGCCTAATATGGTATATTGGTACTCTTTTGTTTTTCAAGACTTTGGCATTTTTTAGGCTAGTATATGTAGGGACTTGGCATATTTAACTTCTCTGTACCATAGATGGTTAATGAATACCATAAAGGCTTATTACATAATGGTTGAGTATCGTAAGAATTTAAATGATAACTGATTCCACAGAAAATAGCCGTCTGGCTACAAATATATTCTTCTCTTAACCGGAGAAGTCCATTCATACCAGCATTGCAAGGGTTAAACTATTGAATTTTACGTCATCATGTAAGCAGTTCAGGCAATGCCTTTCCGAGACATACTATTTAATTTCATTGTTGCATCCCTAATATCTCCATCTGTACACATACACTTTACAGTATTGCCATTTTGCCTAATATGGTATATTGGTACTGTTTTTTAAGCCTTTGGCATTTTTTAGGCTAGTATATGTAGGGACTTGGCATATGTAATTTCTTTGTACCATAGATGGCTAATGAATACCATAAAGGCTTATTACACAATGGTTGAATATCGGGAGTATTCAAATGATAACTGATTCCACATTAATTAACAATAATATAGAGAATAGCCGTCGGGCGACAAATATATTCTTCTCTTAACCGGAGAAGTTCATTTGTACTAGCACTGCAAGGGTTAAACTACTGAATTCTACGTCATCATGTATATATCCTTTTTAAAAAGTTACCAGCGGAAACTTGGTTCTTGATTGGTCCTTTTTTAAAAGGTCCATTTGCATAATGTGTTATTCCGCTTTTCTCTTTTTGGCGCCGTTTTTTTCGACCGGTGATTGGTCCACGTCAGTAGCTCTGACACATATAAAGCAGTGACCCAGCCGTTACCAAACCTTTAGCCCCTGACGAAGGTGCACTTTAGCGGCACCGAAACGCGCGTCGGGTTTCTCTCTTCACTTTTTCCTCACTTCACAGGGCACACTGTCACATGTGCAGAGACCAACATTCTAAGTATGGTCCTGCACATTAGGATGCACTAACAGTTCTTTCTGTTTTTTCTTTCCCTCCTGTATATTCTTTCCTAGCACTATTGGGGGAGAGAACCTAATATACCTGGTTCTATATCTAGTACCAGAGGCAGCCACGATCAGTCCATTGAATATATATGTCTGGATGGCAATGTTGCTATCTTTACTGTTCATTTACTAGGACTGGATATTTTGTTTCTGTTGGGGATTCACGTAATGAATATTATCCCAGACACAGTTACATGAATGGCTAGCCTGTTGCATAGTATATAACAGGTTACTCTCACTCCCCCCCTTTAGTCACAGGTTTAACACAGCACTATTTTGATAATGAGGCAGTAGCACTACATTTAATCTTTGCTGTAAGCCTGCCATTTTTCTGACATTTTGATACAATGCTGTGTTAACATTAGAATAGATGTCCATGTTATCTGTATATATTTTTCTCTATATCATTCAGACATTGACACTGATTATTATATTAAAGTCAGAAGTCTGATTAGACACTAACCAACATAGACATTAGGGAGGTACAGACATTGATAGCTGTGGAGATCTATATATCGATTATATATAGATATATATACTTTTTTGGTTTCTCTTTTGGTATATTTACACACATTTTTTTGTTCTTATCATTATATTTTGTTACTATTCAATTTAATTTCCAGTCATAATCTACTTCTCTGGAGTAATTTTCTTCAGATTTGTGGGATTTTTCTCAATAATTACAGAATCATATCGACCAAAAACAGTAAAACACTCCCAAGCGTCATGTATCTGATGGAGATGGTGCTGGAGAGAAAGAAAACAGCAACTATAAGAAAACACATACCCTAGGCTAATCTCTCACTAATTTATGTTACATAGTTACATAGTTACATAGCTGAAAAGAGACTTGCATCCATCAAGTTCAACTTTCCTCACAAATGTTGTTGCTGTTGATCCAAAAGAAGGTAAAAAACCTGGTCTGAAGCGCTTCCAATTTTGCCACAAACTAGGAAAAAATTCCTTCTTGACCCCAAAATAGCAGTCAGATGTCTCCTTGGATCAAGCAGTTATTACCCCACTAATTAGAAATTATATCCCTGTATGTTATGTTTTTGTAAGTATTTATCCAATTTCAGTTTAAACATCTGTATGGACTCTGACAAAACCACCTCTTCAGGCAGAGAATTCCATATCATTAATGTTCTTACTGTAAAAAAAACCTTGCCTTAGATGAAATCTCCTTTCTTCCAGCCTAAATGTGTGACCCCGTGTCCTATGTATAGCCCTGTTTATGAATAGATTTCTGGGTTTGTACTGGCCCAGAATATATTTGTATAAAGTTATCATATCCCCTCTCAGGCGCCGTTTTTCCAAACTAAACAGATTTCATTTTTTTAACCTTTCTTCATAACTAAAATGCTCCATTCCTTTTATCAATTTTGTAGCTCGTCTCTGGACCCTCTCCAGTGCCATGATATCCTTCTTTAGAACAGGCGCCCAAAATTGCACAGTATATTCAAGGTGTGGTCTTACCAGCGATTTATAAAGAGGCAGAATTATATTTTCATCCCGAGAATTTATGCCCCTATTTATACATGACAAAATCTTACTGGCCTTAGCAACTGCTGATTGACATTGCATATTGCTGCCTAATTTGTTGTCTATAACAATTTCCAAATCCTTCTCGTTTGTGGTTATCCCTAATTCACTACCATTTAGTGTGTAAGTTGCTTGTGCATTCTTAACCCCGAAGTGCATAACTTTGCATTTCTCTATGTTAAATTTCATCTGCCATTTTAGTGCCCAGTCCCCCAATCTATCCAAATCTCTCTGCAGCAAAGCAATGTTTTCATCTTTCAAGTAAATCCATAACCCCTAACAGCAGTGTCCAGTCAAGCAGGAAGTCAATGGGCACGGTAAAAGGGTGTGCCACTGACACAAATCACGTAACCTGCCAAAAGGGGCGAACATGCACAAAAAGAGGATATGTCTGCCCAAAGAATTAGAAGGCCAGCCTGGTATGAATGCATGTCAGGCTGCCTGCCAATCATGCAGCTGGCCAACTAGGAGCATACTATGCAGACAGCACCCTGAGCTTGGCATAAATGCATCTAATAATGCGCTCGCTCAATGCTTTCTAAGGACTGTCCCCTAGCACTCGCTGGTCCACTTGTCTCCTTACCTTCTTACTAGCAGGCAGAAGCTCCTGGTATATAGTCTGGGACAGAGAAAAGCTGTATGTAGTGAGTGTAGAAGAAAGGGAATATGCCACAGTGTTAGAGAGATCAAAGTCAGCATTACCTTAATGGATCACAATAGGGTCAGGAACACAAACATAATTTCATGACCCTATAGTGTCAACACCACCATCTAGCCCCCCTGGGCCCCTCATGCCTCCATAAATATAGCAAAATCTACAAGCCTGAAGCTGTAACTCTGCATGCTGCTAGACTCAGAAAAACAAGCAGTCTGCTGACATCATTAGAAGGCCTAATCCAATCACAGTGCTTCCCCATAGGATTGGCTAAGACTGACAAAGATGCAGATCAGGAGCAGAGCCAGCATGATTCAAACACAGCCCTGGCCAATCAGCATCTCCTCATAGAGATGAATTGAATCAATGAATCTCTATGAGGAAAGTTCAGTGTCTGCATGCAGAGGGAGGAGACACTGAATGTTTGGATGCATTTTAGGCAGCCATGACCCAGGAAGGATCTCTAACAGAGATCTAAGGAGTGGCCAGTGAAGTTATCACTAGGCTGTAATGTAAAGACTGCATTTTCTCTGAAAAGACAGTGTTTACAGCAAAAAGCCTGACGGTAATGATTCTACTCACCAGAACAAATTCAATAATCTGTAGTTGTTCTGGTGACTCTAGTGTCCCTTTAACTATATCCATTGTCAGCCAGTCCACACAAGTTTTGTTCCCATACATCCCTCTTAAGTTTCCATACTTAAGAGTATGTGAAAAGTAGTGAGGGTTGCCACCTTTCTTGGAAAAACATACCGGCCTTGCTAATTTGCATAATTAAATATGTATGGGTGACATCACATGATGTAAATCACAAGGAGTGACATAAGAGAAAGTGCTGTAAAATCACCAAAAAACTACTTAGTATGATTCTGCTGTATAGATGGATTCCTCCCAGTGCCCCCATGTGTCAATTACTCCAGGTCTCAGTGTTCCTATGTATCAGTGTCTTAGTGCCCCATGTCTCCCAGTGTCCCCTAGTGTTGTGTCCCCAGGTCTCCCAGTGATCCTATGTATCACAGTGTCTCAATGCCCCATGTCTCCCTGTGTCCCCATGTATCTCAGGGTCCCCATGTCACTAGGAAGATGGGAAGACCTGGGGAAACGGGGAGACCTAGGGACACAGAGACACCAGTGACACTGGGAGACTACGGGACTCTGGCTGGGACGCATGGGGACACTTGAAGACATGGGGACACAGACACCAGGGACACAGACACTAGAGACACTGGCTGGGGGACATGGGGACATTGAGACATGGGGGCACTGGGAGACATGGGGGCAAGGAGACACCAGGGCCACAGACACTAGGGACACTAGCTTGGAGACATGGGGACATTGAGACACTTGAGACACTGGGAGACATGGAGGCACTAGGAGACATGGGGACAGTGAGACACTGGCAGACTGGGGGCACTGGGAGACTAGGGGGCACTGAGACACCAGGAACACTGGCTGGGAGACATGGGGACACTGGGAGACAGTGTCCCTACTGTCCTCCCTCTCTGGCCCTCACCCCTTAGTGGTGGGTGGGGGCCATCAATAAAAATCCCCCCAGGTGACTAGCGGTCCCCAAACCCCTAGTCACTCCTCCCAAAAAAATTACCCCTACCTACCCCTCTCATCCTAAAAATATTGAGGGGGGACCCTTGTCTAAATACCTGTAAAAAAAATAGACTTACCATTTGATGTCTTCTTTCTTCTAAAATCTTTCTTCTAAAATCTTCTTTTTTCAGCCATAAGAAAGGCCAAATAAAAATCCAGAATAACCGACGCACTTTAAAAAAAAAAAAAAAAATATCCTTCTTCACCCATGGAGGGCTCCGCGCAGACTGAGCTCTGCAGACGGGGGGAAGGCTTATAAAGCCTTGCCCGTCCTGCAATTAGGCTCAAAGTACTCTGATTGGTAGGTTTAAGCCATCCAATCAGAGTGCTCTGACAGGTAAATCAAGAGACTGACAGGTAAGTCTCTACATTTACCTGTCACAGCACTCTGATTGGTTGGCTTGAAATTCACCATCTCTGTATCATTTTACACAGCATGGGAAAGTTCTTTGGAATTTTCGGAACTTCGGCACTTTGAAACTTCGGCAACTTCGGAACTTCGGCACT